CAGCTCTTCAGCTCAAGGCGAGCGCTCTACCACTTGAGCTATAGCGCCACTTCCGGTTTTCTGGTGGTTTATTGGAGATAGAGTCTCACAGTCTCTCCTGCCCAGGCTGGCTTTGAACCGTGATCCTCAGATCTCAGCCTCCTGAGTAGCTAGGATTACAGGCGTGAGCCACCAGCGCCCGGCTGGTTGTTGGGATTTTCAATTGCAGCAAAGTGAGCATCTGCCTGGCCTCCCACTGAGAGACCAAAAACAAGTTCAGCAGTAACAAAACTATAAGGAAAACATCTGTCATCTGTTTACTGGAGGACAGCCTGCTCCAAGACAAGGTAACAGTATCAGCACAGTCCATGAGGCCAGACAATGTAACAGTATCAGCACAGTCCAAGAGGTCAGAATGCCCTGACAGGTTAACCCCCCCCCCCAACTCTAGGGGGAGGCAATTTAGTGCAGGATTCACCTGCAAATCGCCAACCAATCACAGAACCCCACACAACCAATGCTGCAATGACCCCTCCCTCTGCTTCACGTTCCTTGCTGGACAAGGGGTCAGGGCTCACATTTTGGACCTGCTGCATCAGGAAAGATTTGTGAGTCTGGCTGGAGTTACATGACCACTTGAGCTGTAATAAACGACTTTCATGCATTTACATCGCGGACAGCTCCCTGGTAGTCTTTGGGGGAGGGGGAGGAGGGGAGTCTACACCCTGGTACTACACTACCTCATCCAATACATGATCATCCAGCCTGCCTGGCTGATTCAGGAGAAAAAGGAGTCACAGAGCTTTCTAACCACCAGAGATGAGAACTATCGTCTGAATATCCTACAGACCAATGATGTGGGACCAAGGGCAGAGTCGAATCTAGGTTCTACTTGTTTCCCTCTACCAGACTCAAACCTTGAACCTCTCAATTGCAGCCTCCCAAGTGGCTAGAATGACAGGCATGAGCACCAGTGCCATGCTAAAAGAGTCTCTTAATAGCATAGTTTATTAAGTAAAAACTAGTCTTCTGAAAATAACAAGATGCCTATTTTTGGTACTTAAGAACCAGAATGCATGCTGAGATCTAGGGTTGCCACCAGGTGGCAGCAGCAGGGCTCCAGAATGAGGAGCAAGACCTTCCATCAGGTCTGAGAACCCAGTGCGGACAAGAATAGAAATGCGACCCAGCCACAAAATCAGACACTAGCAAGCAGGTCGAATGGAAGCACAGATCCCACTCCAGTATTCTCTCCATTCCTCAGATATAGCATCACCCCAACCAGCCAAACAAAACTTCCCCAACACAACAACCCTTCCTTTGAAATAACACGTGCAAAAAGCACCAGAAGCATCTTTGAATGATATCAACACCAATAAGTTATAGTGCTTTTTAGAGTTTAAAGCTATTGGGTTATATAGCACCATTTCACTGTCTAATTTTGAATACTTTAGTAGAAAAAAAGAAAATTATTAAAATTGAAGCCAGAAAAACTAATGTCCCCCAAATCCTACTGTATAGGTTAGGCACCTGACACCCTGTACTAGCAAATGGAGGCCCTCTACTCTACAAACACAGGCCAAGATAGCACCTGTGCAGGCAGATACAGGCCAAGTCAGTGACACACAACACCCTAGAGATTCCTTCCCACCCACAGAACCAAGTTTGCCAACGAATTCACAGGAAGAACAGTGCTCTTTCTCTTTAGAGACAACCAACAGTGCTCATTTTTATCCCCCCTCCTTTTTCCAGGGTAACACAATGAATATTCAGTTTCTAAGGTACTTCTCAAACATGTTTAGTCCTTCTTTAAGGATGTCATCTGGAATTAGTATCTGAAAGTTAATTAAGGATGACATCTGGCATTAGTAATCTGAAAGTTAATTAAACCTATTAATTGTAAGTTTTTCAAACCTAGTACTATCAAACTGAAATATACCATTTTATTTGTAAAGCATCTGATAGCTATGTTGCCAACAAATATTAGAAGCAAATGAATCAAGCTTCTAATGTTAAGCTACAAGAGGGATTCGATACTCACCTTCCTCAGCTTTTCAGGGGAAAACTCTAGGCCAACAAGAAAAAGAGTAAAGAAGACTCCAAATTCTCCCAATGTCTCCACCTGTACAATAGACTGAAAAATAAGAAAATGTAAACCCCTATAATCCCATCTGACATATACTCAAATGAACCATCATGTGCTAGAAACTAGTTTTGAGTTTCTCCTGTATCTCAGATTATTTTGACCTTGACTCTTTTTCTCCTTAATTAGCCAGAGGACTATTTACTGTCATTTTATTTCTTAAAAAGTAGCTTGGGGGGAGGAGGGTACCAATTTTCAAACACATGGCCACTTCTGTCTTCATTAGAAATTTTCTTCAGCCTTTCAGGGGACAAAGAGGCATCAAACCCAAGCTTAACCTTGACCAGTTCTTGAGAGTGCCTTACATTCTGGGTGTGAGCATGTCTAGAATTCTAGCAGAATTCTCTCATGAGCACTACAGTTGACCACCATATCACACAGGGCTTTATGTACAGAACTCTGTATTTGTTTGGATTAGTTATCTATTGTTAATATTGTTATAGATAAACAAGTAGCACATAATATTTGAAATTCATTAGGGCTACTAATTGTTCAGGTTTTTTTTTGTTGTTGTTTTGTTTTATTTTGGTCAGTCATGGGACCTGAACTCTGGGCCTAGGCACTGTCCCAGGTTAAGGTAAGGAATATAATTATACTAAAATGCCAATTTTTTGCCTCATAAAGGCTTTTATTCACCTCATTGAGAAATATAGACTTAGGTATGCTACTTTGGAGCCAAAAGCCACTACCTGAAAAAGGAAAAGGAAGAGAACTAAAAGAAAAATGGAAGTAGTGTTAAGAAAGCACAAAAGCAGGGCTGGGAAGGTGGCTCAGTGGTAGAGCGCTTGCCTTGCATGCACGAGGCCCTGGGTTCAATTCCTCAGCACCACATAAGCAAAAAGAAAAAAGCCGGAAGTGGCGCTGTGGCTCAAGTGGTAGAGCGCTAGCTTTGAGCTGAAAAGCTGAGGGACAGCTCCCAGGCCCAGAGTTCAGGCCCCACAACTGGACCCAAAAAAAAAAAAAAAAAGAAAGAAAGCACAAAAGCAAGGTGATGTCAAGGCTCTTCAGCTCAAGGCTAGTGCTCTACCACTTGAGCCACAGCATCACTTCTGGCTTTTTTTTTTTTCTGCTTATGTGGTGCTGAGGAATCCAAGCCAGGGCCTCATGCATACAAGGCAAGCACTCTACCACTGAACCACCTTCTCAGCCCCTGTTCAGTTTTTTAAAATACTAATGTGGCACAAGGGTTACTAAGTTCACAGGCTTCTTGATCCCACTGTAAGCCAGCTGGCTTGTCAGAATTCCTGTTTCATTTGCATCTTTCACTTTCAATATTTATTTTTGTGGCATCTCATTATCTGTGCTCTTTGGGGGTACCATCTGTTAGTATATTCATCCCTATTTTGGCTTGATAGCCTCCATCCTAGGTCCTCTGCCCTTTCTCCAAAATCAGGTAACCAGGCCAGGCTGGCCACAATCGCCCACCCCCACCTGAACTGCACTATCTCTAGCCCCCAGCTGCATCATCAACATGCTGCTGTTGCTGCAAGTCAGGAGATTTTGCCCTGGCCACACACTATTTCTAGTGTCTAGCTGCAAGATTTCCTGCTTTTGATCTCCCTATCCTGCCTTCAGCTTTCCTGGCTCTATCTAACCACAGCCGCTGCATATAGACAGGCTCTACTCTCTATCCTGAGAAAGCTAGCCTGTCAGCTTGCTGACAATAAACGTTGTCATACGTGACTTGGTGTCTGTGTGGTTTTCTGGGAAGTGCTTTCACCATCGTAAGTCTCAGTCTCTCTTTTTTTTGTTGTGCTGTTGTCGGGCTTGAACTCAGAGCCTAGGTACTATCCCTGAGTTTTTGTGCTCAAGGCTAACACTCTACCACTTTGAGTCACAGCTCCATTTATGGGTTGCTTTTTGTTTTTTGCAGGATAAGTTAATTGAAAATAAGTCTCACAGACTTTCCTGCCTGGGCTGGCTTTGAACTGTGATCCTCAGATCTTTGCTGCTTGAATAGCTAGGATTACAGGTGTGAACCACCAGTGCCCATGTCCCAGTCTCTTAACAGAGGAGTTAACTTACATTTACTATTGTGCAGATTTCTACTCTTACTTTCTTGATATCACCTTGCTTTTGTGCTTTCTTACCACTACTTCCATTTTTCTTTTAGTTCTCTTCCTTTTCCTTTTCAGGTAGTGGCTTTTGGCTCCAAAGTAGCATGCCTAAGTCTATATTTCTCAATGAGGTGAATAAAAGCCTTTATGAGGCAAAAAAATTGGTATTTTAGTATAATTATATTCCTTACCTTAACCAATCCTCATTTTTGGCAAGGATGCTCTTGGTTCTTTATTGACAAAGACATAGTACAGGGGATGTAATAGGATCAGAATATTCAACGTATCCAGTGGTGCATGAAGACCAGGTATTTTGTCCTAACTGCTTGCTCTTCACTTGTGGCTTTCTATACTGTTCTAAGTCATGTTGGACACAGTCACAGGGCCCGGGACTCTCAACTTCAAGTTCTTGATTGTCTCCCTGAAGGCCCAAGTCTTACAGCTTCAAGCAGGATGTGGGATGGCTTTCTACCTGGCCAAAGATTATTTGCTGTTAAAATCAGTCTTGTGTGAATACTTCTTTTGATTGACTCTGCTAAGTTTCAGTGCAGGGAAATCACTCAAGTTCTTTTGACTTGATTGAAGGTCCACTGGTTGGTTCGCAGGTCTGCTGATTAGCATTTACTAAGAGCAAAGGTTCAAGGAAAACCTCCCTAAAGTGTTCCTGTCTGTTGTTTGCTTCTATATGTAAGGAAAGTTATCTTTTCCACCAAAGTAGTTAGCTTCCTTTCTGTTAATCTTGTGAGAATTGTTTTTCTGAAAAGTTCCTGCTTTGGCCAGGTGGCTTGGCTCTGTTTTCCTGTTGCACATTCCTTTAAGGATGTCTTAACTAAGAAGCTTCTTAAATTTTAGTTATATCCTGTTAATTAAGTATATCTTTCTGTAGATTGTGAACTTGAGCTCAGCCAAAGTGTGTGAGGGGGTTGGGGGGGGAGTGGCCTGCTGGGTTAAGGATAAAATGGGAGCAGCCTGCCTGTTCTCCATGCTTGTGCACCAAATTTTTGGCTAATGGCGCACACTTTTGCAAAAGAAAACCTTGACTTGCCAAGTTCCTTTTGAGTTGATGTCCTTATTCCCATTACACACCAACATTCCAAACCATTTCTAACATACTCACCTGGGGAGTTTTAGTAAAGTTAGGATGACCCAATGGCTTATCCTTCACCTTCCAACTCCTGTGCTAGGCTCACAGCATCACCTGTCTGTAGGTGAAACATTCAGAAGTCCTATAAAGCTCAGGAGACTTTCCTGTCATAAGTGTGTCTGCCTGTGTGTCATAATCAATCTGCTCTGTAAATGGCCTTAGCAAGAACAGCCTTAGGCTTCCTTGCAAGACAAGGCCTTCTAGCAGCTTTCCCCATACATGAGAAACTGCTTATAAACACACTGAACCCAGCATTTTTCATTGCTTTCAGTGTCTGAAGGGTGATCTGTATAATGCTGTCCATCCTATCGCCAGAAATAGCATCTAAAATGAACTCAACTTAAAGAGATAAACTGGGCTGTTTTCTCTAGGCAGGATGTCTCACATCAAGTCATGAAACGTTCCTGTAGCTTAAAGGTTCTTCAAAGGCATCTTCTCTACATGGTCTATAAGATATGCACTCCTATCTTAACGTTACCCAAGCTCAGAACTGTTTTGTTTTGTTTTTGTTGGTCGTGGGGGTTGAACTCTGGGCCTGGGAACTGACGCTGAGCTCTTCAGCTCAAGGCTAGCACTCTCCCACTTGAGCCACAGTGCCAGTTCTGGTTTTCTGAGTGGTTTATTCCTGCCCGGGCTAGCTTTGAACTGGGATCCTCAGGTATCAGTCTCCTGAGTAGCTAGGATTACAGGCATGACCGGTGCCCAGCCAGCTCAGAACTGTTAAGTGTTTGAGCATACTGCCAGACAGTAAAATGTTCAACATTGTTCTTACCTTAATACTGTTTAGTCCTGAAGGTCCCAGAAGCACACCACATATGATATACCCAAACATTGTAGGCAAGCCAATCGTTGTACACAGCCAGCCACAAGGTAAGGACAACATTCCTATAGTAACAATATCCTAATGCAGAATAAACAAGAAATGGTTGATTAACCAAGAGACCAAGATGGGACCAAGTCCCTAATTTCATCTCACAGGCATGGGGTACAGATGACAAACCTAAGGATATTTCTGTGTCACACAAAGAAGTTGAAAACATTAAGATGCATTCTAAAAGTTTATGAAGTTAGTTCCTAATGGCCTAACAATTATAGCAAAATCTGCCTGTTCACTTAGGCCCTCTATTGGCATTCTACATAACTAAGCAGTACTTGAATTCCATTGAGTTTTCTAGCTGTAGTGCTATCAGAGCCTGAATCTAACTATGATTTGCCATTGCCATCAGTTTCCCCATTGCTTATAACTAATGCAGCAGAAATCAACAATAACACAGAGAGGGAGGGAGGAAGGGTGAACAAATGTAATCATGCTATTCAGTATACATACACACACACACATACACACACACACAACCAACAATAGTGCTGAAACCACTGTTGAATTAGGAATAGGATATGAATATAGACAGTCTCAAAGTTTTCCCCAAATTACTTATTCATTACAAGGTGGGAAAAGACTAACTCTCCAGAGACCTCCGTGGGGGATGTGAATGCTGTCAGTCTGCAGAAGTGGCCTGCAGGCTGTTGTGATCATAACCACAGGGGCTACCTGTGGGCTGACCATGGACTTGGACTACTGTAAGGCTCCATACTTGGAGGAGCTCTTGGGTACTCCTCATCTTAGAGCCTAGGTTTTCTGTTTTATTTCTGTTCCTATGCAAAGTTCCAGTTAAAGGAGTTTTGCTGGAAACCTGATGATTTATTGGACTCTCCCAGGCTTCCTAGGGACTATAGTAGAACTCCCATTTCACTCCCAGAAGAGTGGTCACTTTGAACTAGACCAGTTTTCTGGGAAGAAATGGATTTGCATTACCTATGAGTGGCAGACCAGGTACTCAGCACTGGCAGATTCAGGTACCTTGTACCCCATGTGTGAATGAAACCAAGTAGGACCTCTCAGCTACAACTCCTCTGCCTTATAAAATGATTTTCATTTTTTTTTGTTTATTGAGATGAGGTCTTATTATGTTGTCCTGGCTGTTCTCCAACTCTTGGGCTCAAGATATCCTCAAACCTCAGCTTCCTCTGTAAACAGCTTTAGATAATTGGAACTATAGTCCCACTAATAATTCCCAATTTCAGAAAGTCTTTCAAGACTTCAAAAACATAACTAAATTTTATTTTAAATACTAAAATGTCCCTTTATTTTAGAAAGCACAGATGTGGTATATTTTAGCACACTCTCTGACAAACAGAACACCAGCATGAGGTTCAAGGAAAGAAAGCTGACTGCCACAGGAAGGAAAGTTGGTCCTTAGTGAACACACACACAGTAGGGTCAATCCTCAATGACCACCCACAGGAAGGACAGGCAGACACTCACTAACCACCCACAGGAAGGGCAGGTGGACACTCACTGACCACCCACAGGAAGGGCAGGTAGACCCTCACTAGCCACCCACAGGAAGGACAATCCTCACTGACCACCCCCAAAAGGGCAGATGGATGCTCACTGACAACCCGGATCACCTTAATGAAGTGGTGGTCTGCACGTGGGATGGTGGAGTCTCTAGGCTTGGTCAGGATGTACTGGTTGTTCTGGGAGTCAATCAGCATGCTGAGACCCAGACCTTCCTCCACTTCTCGCTGTGTGATATTCTTCTTGGAGTTAGCCTCCTCCTCTTCCACCCTGAGAACTGCCTCAAAATTGACCCCTTTGACCTGTAAGAATAACCAACCATTATGCAAAAAAAAAATCAAATAAACACTTTCAAATTCAGTGTTCAGAGTAAAGGCTAAAAAGAGTGACAAAATACCAATAGTGCCCATAAGCACAAATTAGGGTATTTTTTTTCACATCTACTTTACCTGATTTAGGGCATATTTTTTCAAAAGTTTATATCTCAGAAAACAATTACTTTACCTCTAATACTCTACTTTTTTCTCTATTGGTGTGTGTGCATGTGTACATTCACACATGCACACACACACACGCACGTATGCACACACATATACTGGTATTATGGCTTAAATGTTTAGGAACATGCACTTTTGCTTTTTCACTCAAGGCTAGTGCTCTTCCACTTAAACCACACCTCCACTTCCAGCATTTTGCTGATTAATTGGAGATAAGTATCTTTTGGATTTTTTTGCCTGGGCTGGCTTTGAGATCTCAGCCTCCTGAGTAGCTAAGATTACAAATGTAAGCTACTGGCATCTGGCTTTTTTCTATTCTTATTCTGATTTATTTCTATTTAATTATTTATGGGTCCTTGCCAAAATGCAGTTTTTGGCATCAGTATAAATTTTCCCTTAGGATCTCAACATATGGTAAGTGAGAAGCCTCAATCTTGCTTTCCATATAAGACCATCTTCTACAGGGTTTTACAGAATCCCCAGTAATCAGCTTAAACCTGGCCATTCAAACTTGCTTGATACCAGAGTCCTAACCTCATGTATGGCAAAACTAGGAAATGGAGACAAGCCCTAACAAAGGACAGACTATAATTATCAAAAGACAAAAGGAAAAAAGAGGAAATTTGATCAAGTCAAATTACTTTCCGTATGACACAGAAGTGTTTTAGTAAGACACACATTCAAACACCTTCCAAGGCTCAGTCTCATAAACACAGTTCAGCGGTGGAGGGAGTGGCTCTAGAGTGTTGCTTACAGATTTATTGTCATCGAAAGCATGCTCTTCTATTTCCTCCTCTAAACGATCAGCTGCCTTCCTCACATCTTCCAGGATCTCATCCAGCATGGAGAGGCTCTTGTTTTGATGCTGCATGTTTTTGAGTGCTTCCACTTGATGTTTCTCTGCAGCAAGAAGTTCCACATATTCTGACTCTTCCTAATCATTTGTAAGAAATGAAGAGTGGTATTTATTCAGGAATAAAATAGGATATGACTTCCTTGTGCCCATAGAGGATCGCTGCCAAACTAGACACAATAACTCTATGTCAATAACCCTGTCCATGAATGGCAACTACTAACTATAACCAGCTCAGGCATGGTGAGCTTAGTGAAATGTGCAGGGTATGCCACTGTGCATGTGCACACACACACTGACATACTTACATACACAGCATTTTACTCCAAATATATTTACTCATATCCAAACTTGTCGGCTGGTGGCTCATGCCTGTAATCCTAGCTACTAAGGATGCACAGATCTAAAGATCAAGACTTTTTTTTCCCTAAGTTACTTCATTGTTCTTTTAAAGGTGATACACAGCGGCCTTTACTTACATACATAAGGTAACTGGTACATTTTCTATTGCATAGTATCATTTGTTCCCTCAGATATCATAGTCCCCCACCTGCAGATATCATAGTTCACTTTCCTGGATGGTCTGTGCAGCCAGTGTGCTCCACTGCTGCACTTCTTCACCATTTTCCTCTCATTCTGTGCCCTCCTCTGACCCTGAAGATCAAGATTTAAAGCCAACCCAGGAGGCAGAAGAGTCTTTGATATTCTTTTATATATATATATTTTTTTGCCAGTTCTGGGGCTTAAACTCAGCACCTGGGCACTGTCCCTGAGCTTCTCTGTGCTCAAGTCTAGCACTCTACCACTTGAGCCACAGTGCCACTTCTGGCTTTTTCTGTTTATGTGGTACTAAAGAATCAACCAGGGCTTCATGTATGTTAGGCGTACTCTACCACTAAGCCACAGACAGACCCAGCCCCTGCGAGACTCTTATCTCCAATTAACCACCAAAAAAGCCAGAAGTGTAGCCGTGACTAAAGTGGTAAAATGCTAGCCTTGAACTCAGGGACAGTACCCGGGCCTTGAGTTCAAACCCCAGGACCAGCACAAAGAAAAAAGAAAAAAAAACAAAAAAACAAAAAACCTTGATTTAAAGGCTCATATGATATTTCTACCAGAACCAGCATATTTTCCTAAAGTTTAAAACATCTATATTCTCTTTACTTTTTAAGCAGTACCATCAGTCTTTGTATGACAATGAGTAACATTTATATACTTAAAGGCTAGGCATGGTGCCTAGCTTAAAAAAATACAATACCATATCTGATACAGTAGTAGTTATATCTCATTAACAGCACACATGATTGGGTTGAGAGTGTGGCTCAAGTAGTAGAGAGAGAGCCTGCATCCCAAGAACAAGGCTCTGAGTACTAATTCTAGTACTGCCAAAATAAAACAAAGAGGTACACTTGGTCAAAGTTCTGAATTTAAATGTTACACGGTCATGCCTTACTTAGGGATGGCCAACAGTAAGTTCTGAGAAACAGGTCATCAGGCAGCTGTGTCACATGAGAACAACAGTGCTTTTTTCCACAGACTGAGATGGTTGGGAACTCTTGGGTAAGACAGCCTAACAGACCCACATCTGCCTGTGCTGACCACACGGGCTGACATGCCGTTATATAGCACATGGTGAATGTGTACACATCTATCCATTAGTGAAAGTTGAGAACCAGGATTCCACAAAAGAGACTCTTCAGAAGCCTAGTCACGGCCATACTACCGTTACAGGAAAGTTCACCCTCCTGTCACAGAATTCTTGGCCTATGTATCTGTCCCCCCACCTCTGGGAGACCCCTTCCTCCCACTGGGGCCACCGACCTTTATGGCGGCCTCTCGCAAGGCTTCCAGCCGCTGCTTGCTGCTTTCCTTCATGTTCACCACATCCCTGTAATCCCCCTGCAGGGCCCTTTGCAGTCCATAGATAGCCTGGAAGACGGAATTTTCACTTTCATTTAGCTCTTTCTGGAAAATTTCAAATGTGTGCACCTGGAACAGCTTCTCTTCATCTGACAGGCTAGTGTCTTTCTCCACTGCTCTGATGGCATTTTTCAGTTTGTTCAGCACCACGTTCTTCTGCCGAAGAAGCCCAGTGAGCCTCCTGCAGCTGTCCAGGACCCACTGCCTCCTCTGGTTAGCAGCCGCTCCCTTCCCTCGGTGTAACTTGATAGCATGCTTTGCCACCTCTGCATGCTCTGCAGCACTGACTATCAGGTGAAAGAATGGAAACAGCATCCAGAAGAGACGCTCTTCCAGTATCTTCATGGTCCAAGGACAGGGACCAGGACAAGATGGTCCAAAGAGTTCTGCTATGGTCAGCTTGCATTTTAGACTCACATTTCCAGCTGAAAAACAGACTATCGTCACATACAGCTAAGGAATGATTCATTGCTATTGGGATCAAAGTTAAAATATTATTTCCAGAAAACTGTTAACTTTCTGAAAAAATATTCTTCTTCTCATATTAATACAAATACTTGAACTCAGATAATAATCAAATACTAAATGTTAAAGTACCTTAAATGAGATTAAAGGAGTTCCATCTGATTTTAAAAGCTTTTTTTTTTCTTTCTGTACTGGGGTTTGAACTCAGGGCTTTGCACACATTAGGCTGGTGCTCTACCTCCTAAGTCATATCTATGGCCCCAAAAGGAAATTCTTCTGAAAAGTTTAATCAAGGATTTATTTTAATATATCAAGGTTAGAGCAGGGAGAAATAGACAAAGAGAACTATTTCCTGTTCCCCATGCAGAAAATGAGAACTAAAGACTTGAAAGGCATATTTTCAAAAAAGCAATCAGCCTCAGAAATCTACCAAATCCACCATCTGCATAATGACAAAAGACCCCTAAGAGGATCCACATGTCAAAGGCCAACATCAACGTACCTCCTGCAGGTCTGCAAGCCACTGTGGACTATGCTCAGAGCATTCCAGAAATAAAACCCTCTGAGATGCCAAGAGCTGGTTCAGCCACTTTGCTTGCTTTCCAACATCACTAAGAATGTTGCCAAATTTTCTAAGTCAGCCACTGGTAAGTAATATAGTAAGACATCAGGATAAAAATGTTCACAAAAATAAATAACCATAGCTGGAACTCCAGGAATTTTATCAAATGTTCAAATTTTCTCTATCACTGAAATTCAGGTTTATTCTCTTTCCCTGTGTGAAAAAGACCTAAAATGAAACCTATGAATATCTAGAAAGAGTGGCACAGGCAGGAACGTGAAGTCATATTTTGGTGATTGAGTGGAGGGAGTCTTGGGGTGCTGGAAGGCATCAATGAAGCCAAGGTATCCAGGAGATGCAGTCCCCAGCAGAGCTGACAAAAGCACTGTCTGAAAAGCAGGTGGACTTCCTGACACACAAGTTATGCCCAAAAGGAAATAAGAAATGCCATCTGTGGGATTTAAAGGAAACACCAGCACCTGTACCATCTACTCACTCACAGGAACATCCAGAATTCCTACACCCAGTACTTCCTCTCCCTGATGACTGCTTCCTAAAATACAGACCTGTACTTTAATTTCACTGCTAACCACAACTCTAATAAATTTAACCAGGAAAAACAGACAGAAAAAATAATATGGCATTTCTAGAGATCTGAACTAACCAGGAAGTAGAAGCAACCCTTAAAATAGCAAACATAAAAACTCAAAAAGCAGAAATGGAGCTGTGGCTCCAACGGTAGAGTGCTAGCCTTGAGCACAAAAAGACCTCAGGGATAGCACCTGGTCCTGAATTCAAGCCCCAAGACTAGCACAAAAAACAAAAAGCAAACACTCAAAAAGCCTTCAGACCAAGTCGGGTACTGGTAGTTCATGCCTATAATCCTAGCTATTCAGGAGGCTGAGATCTGAAGATCATGGTTCAAAGCCAACCCAAGCAGGAAAGTCCGTGAGACTCTTACCTTCAATAACCCACTAGAAAACTGGAAATGGTGCTGTGGCTCAAGCAGTAGAGTACTCACCTTGAGCTGAAGAGCACAGGGACAGCGCCCAAACCCAGAGTTCAAGCCCCGTGACCAAAAAAAAAAAAAACCTTCAGACCAGCCTATTAAGGGAGGGATAACTTGTCTAGTGCTCAACAGATCCTAAAAATAATAGATACTCTGCTATACAACGGAACAGTCACTGTTGGAAAAATGACAACCAATCATCAAGAAACTAAGATACTCTTTTTAAAAAGTGTTGGATTTCAATGTGTTTTAGAGGTGTAGCTCCTGAGGGCAAAGCTAATGGACACCTAGGGACTATACTCAGCTCACATTCTAGTCAGGTAAAGGAAGAATGTGCTGTGCCAGTGATTTGGCTCAAGTTAGGGTCAATTCAACTCCAAGTACGAGTTACCACCTCAAAAACAAACTGACCATTTCCTCCTACAGAGCAGAGCAGAGCAGAGCAGAGCAGTATACCTGATCTGGTATCTTAAAGCCTTGTTCTGAGGCCAGCGTTCTCCTATTGTAAGGGAGATTCATGCCATATTTGGAAGTGCAAGTTTAGGCTTTCCCAGAACCAAAATGGAAACTTGAGATGCTTTGTTTGTGCCTCAGAAAAAAACTTGCAATACACAGTCTGTGTGTGAATGGCACACTCCCTATACTTAATTCCTTCATCAACCAGACTCCAAAAGCTAACAAGCCATTCTGTAGTTAATGTTTATGAGAACCCTGAGGATTTCAGTTGTGGTTACACTAATATTTTCCACTGATACATAACATAAATATGAAGGTGAACGTACAAACCAACACCATAATTGAAATTATTTATTGTTGTGTTTGGTAGATCCAGTCAGGAGAACAGAGAAGCCACCACTTAAAAGGCCAAATCTGGAGTCTTTATTGGAGCACTAATGGGCAGCAGGGGACTCCTATCACAAAGCCCTACTGCCATGAATATAACTAAACACCACTTTTATGGCCAAAAACCACACAAGGTGCATGAAATGAATCTTTTTTGGGGGCTCAGTTGTGGGGCCTGAACTCTGGGCCTGGGTGCTGTCCCTCAGCTCTTCAGCTCAAGGCTAGCGTTCTACCATTTGAGCCATAGCACCGCTTCTGGCTTTTTCTGCTTATGTGATACTGAGTAATCGAACCCAGAGCCTCATTCACGCAAGGCAAGCACTCTACCACTGAGCCACCTTCCCAAAGATATTAACAAAGATATTAAATATAAACCAAAGCAAAGTGAATATGAACACAATCAAGGGAAATCAAGAACTAATCATATGAGTAAGACTTCTTGGGAACTTACCAACTCGAAATACATTTTAAACTAAAGAATGTCTTCTAGTATTAAGGCCTTTTGCTTAGACCCAGTCTCTTTACTTCATTATAAGCTATCCCCTTTTTCATGAGCTCATTTCAACCTCAAACCTGTCCACAAGACTATATGGACTGCTGTAGTACATTCCTCTTAAATTAGTAAACATTTTTAATTTCTTTTTTTTTGCCAGTCCTAGGGCTTGAACTCTGGGCCTGGGCACTGTCCCTGAGTTTCTTTTGCTCAAGGCTAACACTCTACCACTTGAGCCACAACACCACTTGTGGCCTTTTTCTGGTTACTGTAAGGCCTGCTCCTGGATGGCTAGCAGACTCCACCCTCCTCGCAGCAAAGTCTCCACCCAGTACCTGCGTTACCTAGGCAACTGGGACACCTGGAAGAGGTCACATCTGCATCTGCTGAGATCACATCTGAATTTGATGTGGCCACACCTTTCTCCACCCATACCCTAGATAAGGCCTTGCCCAGGCCTAGACGCTCTCTCTGCTCTTTTCTAGCTTTTCTCTAGCTCTCCTCTTTAAAAACCTAACAGTTACATGGTACTGAGGAATCAAACCCAGGGCTTCATGCATGCTAGACAAGCACATACCACTCATCCATATTCCCAGCCCTCATCATTACTTTGTTATTGCTATTTTTAATCATTAAAAAGACAGTCTGGCTGGGCACTGATGTCTCATGCCTGAAATCCTAGTTACTTAGGAGGCTGAGATCTGAGAATCAAATCCAGGCTGGGCCAGAGACTCTTACCTCCAATGAACCACTAGAAAACTAGAAGTGGCACTGTGGCTCAAAGTAGTAGAGTGCTAGCCTTGAGCGAAAAGAGCTCAAGGACTGCACCCAGGCCCTGAGGTCAAGACCTACTACTGACCACCCCCCCCCTCAAAAAAAAAAGACACTTTGGACTTCAGTAATACTGAATTTTAAGTGTGAGAGTCTCAAGCTGAGTATATTATTCCACCTCTATAACTCATCAAGCACTGCTGAAGAGGAACCAGACCTGTTACCCAAGTATTTAACTAGCCACTATCTCGCAGATGCTGACTGACACAGAGAATGAGAGGGTCTCTACCTGGCTCACTCCCTTCTCAGTGCTGCCTGGTTTATTTGAGCCCAGGCAATGTTCCCAGAACGGGAGAGGCAGGGTTCCTTTTTCTTGGGTTAGGGGGTATGGGTACTGCAGTTTGAATTCAGGCCCCATACTTGCTAAGCAGATGCTCTACTACTTAAGCTATGCCCCAGCTTTTGTTTTGCTTTAGCTATTTTTCAGGTATTATCTTGCTTCTGTCTAGGCCAGCCTTGACTGATCCTCCTAGTTAAGCTTCCTGAATAGCTGAGATCACAGGCATGTAACACCACATCTAGTTTACTGGTTGGGAATGGAGGTCCCAATAACTTTTTATCTGAGCTGCCTAGGTACCCTCTTCAGCTGTGATTACAGGTTTAAGCCACTGCACTTCACTAGGATGGGTAGGCTTTGACCTAGGCTGTAGGCAGGGAAGGTCTGGAGCCAGTGGAATGGGTGTGGCCAGAAAAGGATTAATGTGTCTAGGACAGTTATTTAGCTTCCTCTGAAATAAGGGGAAATAAGGATTACTCAAAGTTAACAATGGTAAGTTCTTAATAACACGTGCAAGTTCAGCAGTATTGACAAGAGAAAGATGGATAAAATGGAGGAAAAGTCTCAATGGAAATAATCTAATCTCCTTTGTAGAAGACTTAAGTCTTACTTTAAATTCTAAACTATATTCCTTAAGAGTACTTATGACAGGGCTAGGAAGGTGGCTCAGTGGTAGAATGCTTGCCTTGCATGGATGAGGCACTGGGTTGGATTCCTCAGCTCCACATAAGCAGAAAAAGCTGGAAGTGGCGCTGTGGCTCAAGTGGTAGAGTGCTAGACTTGAGCTAAATAGCTGAGGGACAGAGGCTACATCCAGAGTTCAGTCCCCATGACTGGCAAAAAAAAGAGTACTTATGATCCCACAAGTACAAGTGGTAGCTGCTTAAAAAAATAACATTTTCCATGAATATTATCTTGAATGAAAGAATTGGAGAACAAGGAAAGGAAAGAAAAACACCATTCAAAAGCTTTCAAGAACTTGTTGGGTCAAACTCTTAGGAAAAGAATTTCATGAGTTAATCCTGTCATGACACCGATTTTGGCAAGCAGGTACAACACATCAGTAAAATGTCCCAATCCATCAGCCTAACATACAGATGTTGAGCAAAGAGTAAACCACAACAGTGTCTTGATGGAATCCAAAGACATGTTCAGATACCTACTGCATTTGTTCAGGTGACACCATTATGAGCAAGGCAGAAACTACAGAAGAGCTGCATGCCAGCTGCTCGTTTAATCTTTAGATCCAGACGGGCCAACAAGGAAGAAATAAAGGAGACTTATGAGTAAGAGCCCTTTTAAAAAGGAGCAGTAAATATTCCCAGCTGTGGCCACACATGTGACAGGGAATGAGCTGTAGGCAAAGAGCCACTAGGATGTTTTTTTTTTCTCCAGTAGAAAAGGCTACAGGAGACTAGAAGCGGTGAGGCTGACAGAATGTTAAGACCTTTCTACCCCTCCCAACCTATGTGACTGGTTACATCTGTAAGAGTCTATACCTAAGGTAGGGATTAAGACTGCCCACCTTTCTGACACCTTTCTCTGACACTTTTCTGGCTCTGTAAATTTAGACCAAGGTGTTGCAGGGCTCTCTACATGTTCCCCAGAACAATAATCTCAGGGTGTCCATTGCTGGGTAGGTATAGCTAAAAAAAAACAACAACCTGCCTCAACACACAGACAGGAGTGAATAAAATTCCGCAGAGGAGCATGACTCAAGTAGCTGGGCACTGAGTGAAGCCTGGGGAGGAGAGCCGCTAGGAAAGAAAGCCTGGGAAGGGGAGTCCCTGGGAAGGAGCGAGGTTGAAGGCCAAGGCCTGGGAAGGGGAGCCCCCGAGAAAGAGCGAGGTTCAAGGCGAGCCTTTGCTAGAATCCCAGGAAGGAGCGCGCCAGGGGACCCTGAAAGAAAGGCGGGCAAAGAACTTGAGGCCCCGCCCCCGCCCCCCACGTCCCGAGAAGCCCCTCCCCACAAAGGGAACCCCGAGGAGCCAGGGAGAGAGGAGGTGCCCGGGAAAGAGCCCCCCGGAAGGAAGGTCCACGGAAAGGGGCCCCCACCGGAAGGAAGGTCCCCGGGAAGGAACCCTCCCTCCCCCCCGACGAAGCCCCGCGCAGCTCAGGACCGGCGCGCTCACCAACACCGAGGAGGCCGCGACTTGGACGAGCCGCCCCAGCATCTGCATCCCGGACCCGGGACTCCGCGGCGCCGGGAGCCGACGGGCGGATGCGGGCATCGCGTTCTCGGGGGCGGGGCCCGGATGTCTCCGACCGGTCGCCCTCGTCTTCCCCGGGACTCCTCCCAGCGGGCGTGTGGACTGGGGAGGAGAGTGCACCACTGGGCGGCGGCGGCCGAGGCGCGCCGACCGCCGGACCCGGTACCCAACCTTGGCGGGAGCGGCGGCCAGCGCCTGCGCGGAGGCCGGGCGCGGAGTCGCGTTGGGTGTGCGCCTGCGCAGACGGCCGCCAGCGCGCAGCGTGCGCCTGCGTGGACGGCTGCCAGTGACTGCGGCGGTGTCTGGGAGCATGGTAGGTGGCAGTTGTTGGGCTCCGTGGAGGGTGTGGAGGTGCCGGCGCCCGGCGTGGAGGTCACCGCGGCGTGGCGGACGGTCCCGGCACCGACTGGAGGAACCGCCTTTGTCCCCGCGTGAGGGCCGGGCGGGGCCGTGTACGGTCGGAGGCGCCCGCCGGCGTGGGGACTGGGCGCCGGGC